TGCTGAAAAGCTGCCTCTCAAAATCTAGAAAAGCTGTGAAGGAGAATGCAGTCAGAAATCATCCAGATGAAGTAAATGTCAGCCTTTCAAGTGAAAGACCTGAAGCCGTTAAGAACGTAGAGTGTGATTTACAGCTTAAAAAAGGATGCAAACCTGAACCCGTTTCGAACCAGAATAACCTGCAGATAGCTAAAAACAGGAAATGTGCTTTCACAGCTGCATCAGGCACTGATGATAGCAGTTCAGTGGACAGTGATGACAGCATTGAACAAGAAATTAGGAAATTTTTGGCAGAAAAGGCTAAAGACTCTGCAGGCAATTCAGAGATGCAAAAAAATGGGGCAACTCTAGACCTGTTGAGCAAACAAACTGCAAGTAAAGGAAAAGTGAAGCAGCAGTCGGTTGAAAATGAGATGGACTTCTTGCTGGGTCAGACTAAAAAGACTAAGGGATCTCAGCAAACTGATGAGTTGAAGAGCTCTCAGAGAATGGAAGGGAAAAGTGCAATGTTACTTGACAGTGGGAAAACTGCTTCCTCTGCAGAGAATGTTTCTTTTAATACTACTGGTCAGTCAAAAGCTAAACTAGCAGTGGTGGGGGTTAAAGGTGTTGCTGCTGGTGAGTTACCTGGGAAAGCGACAGGGAAAAAGGATGTGTCTAACACAGAGCCTGTGCAGAAAACACTGCCTTCTAAAACCAGCAGAAATGAAGGTCGTAAAAGGCAAAAAGTGAGCAATGCAAAGTCTAGATCTAAAAGAAAGAACTCCTTTCAGTTAAAGATTTCGAGTAAATTTATTGCAGGGCTGAAACGTGCCCGGGAGAGGAAGAAATCCATGCTTTTGAACAAAAAGCAGAAATCAGAGCATTTGCTCAGCCAGAGCAGCACATCAGGAACAGAGGTAGCTTCCCAGGATACAGATGTACTTACACGGGAAAAAGGAGCCCCACTGCCAAAAGGTGAATGTAGTGGGGAGAATGAGACAGCAATAAAAGAATCCAACTCTTGTCAGAAGCTCGCTGTGGAAGTGTCAGGTCCCCATGTAGCAGAAACCTGTGAAAGACCAGATGCTGCTCCTTTGTGTATCAAAGAGGCAGAGGGCTGCAAAAAGGCTGCTGCTGCAGGAGGCTGGACGGATTCACATCTGAATCTCTCCTCACAGGAGCAGAGTGTGGCAGCAGGACAAGTAGATAAGGTTTGCAGAAGAACAAACAAAGCTGAGAACGTGCAGATGGGGGCTGAGGAAGGAGATAGCCACAGAGACAGCAGGGCAGATTCAAATGTGAGTCCCCCACTCCTACAGAGCAGTAAGGCAGTGGTAGAAGCAGATAAAGGTAGCAAAGAGACATGCCAGCAGAGTATACACGTATGTGGTCGTGGAGAGAATAACCAGCAGGACAACAGGCAAGATCCACGTGCAGGTTGTGCACTGCAGGAGCTAAGTGTGACAGCAGTAAGAGCAGGTGAAGCTAGTGGAGAGGCATGTGCAGGAAACGGTGTGCACGTGTGCGTGGAGAAGGAGAGCATTGCCTGCCAGGACAGTGACAGACAGTCAGAAATTCAGGTATCCAGCTCCAATTGGGAAGGCAAAGTGCCTGTCCTGCAGCACAGGGAAACTGATTGTGAACCGGACCAAGGGCAGGAAGTTTTAGAGAAGGACTGTGCAAAATGTACTGACACACCAGCAGGGGACAGCCCAGATTCCCTCATGAAATTGCAGGTATCAGATAAGTAAGTACACTTTTTTATCTTTCCTCCCACAGTAACAGGCTTTTTAGAAAACAACTATCCTTGTAATTACCTTGATAAGACATGAGAAGGTGATAAACGCGTATCATACACGCACTAAGGTGAAAAATGCTTCTATATAACAGGGGTATCATGGATAAACGTGCTTAGGTTTTGTAGAATTTTGTAAATTATTTAAAGCCTTCTAAGGAGATATTTTTTATAATGATTTTTAGTGCTCACATTACTACAGAGTGCTGTAGCTATTATAGATGAGGAGATACTGCCTAATCAGGCTTTAAATTATGAGGCCTCTAATCGTGTTGGAAGGAAACCTGTTTGTCAGTCTGTGAGGAGATCCCAGGCGAACACAGCATTTGCTGATGGCGCAGTGCTTTGGAAGCTCCCTGCCTGCCATGTGTTTACACTCGAGCTGCCTTAGGACAATCCTGTGTCCCCAGGGACTGCGCAGTGAACTCAGCAAGCAGAACTCCAGCAGAGTTGGTGCAGCTGCAGGTGTGGAGGCCATGAAGATCCACATGCAAATCCAGGCAGGCGCAGAGGGTCTGTCTGTCTGCTCATCCCTGCGCAGCGACCGCAGTGGCCACAGAAAGCACCTTTGGAATGCTGAACACCTCCTGCTAGCAGATGATTCGAAGCACAATTGCAGTTGGAGCGAAGTGAAGGAATGTCTGTTCAGACATGACTTCTGTGGGTGTCACTAGACTTGGGTGTTGCTGGGCCTGCGAGCCTGAAACGATTTCCTCCTTACTCTTGAGTCTGAGGCCCTGCAGTTACCCAGCAACGTGTTTGGATTTTTCCAAATGAACTTTCTTCAACTGAGTGCCCTTACTTTCCTTTTTCAGAAGTGGTTTCTAAGGTGTTACATTTCTGTGAACTTCTACTTTCATTTGCAATTTTTGTGCAATAGAGCAAAGCTAGATTTGCTGCAGGAAGTCCCTAACAGAAACGCCACGGATATTTTCAGCACTGTTCTTTCATACTTAGAGAGTTTTCTCTCTTTTTCCAGCACCCGGAATAAAGCAATTTTTCACTACTGTCTTTTTTTATTTGAACTGACTCTAAGTGGCATTCAAGTAATGCCTTTGTATCGCAATGAAAGTGTTCCACACCAGTTCCACTGAAAAATCCAAGAGGTGTGAATTGAAGCTGTTGACCGGTTCTTTCATTTCCATTTGTGTGTAATGAAGTCCCCTGAGTAGTTTGTTCCTGCGTCTGTCCTGTGAATCGATTTGATGCTATCTCTATTCAGTCTTCTACTGACCTCCTCAGCCACACTCCCATTTCGGCTCACCTCGTTTCTTAATCACTTCAGCAGTCTTCCTGAAGGCTGGCCTTAATGTTCAGAAACGGAGCGAAAGCAGCCAAGAACGGATCCAGTATCACCTGCTATCTCCAGATGTGATTGCATTGGCAGAATGCTGGCAAACTGCGGCGTGGCATAGAGTAGAAAAGGTAACCGTGGCATGTAGAGGAATAGAAGACATCCTTGGTGTGTTTATACTGTCGTGCAGGTGCGTTTTAAACATGCGTAGAGTGGTCACTTGGCATTTCTTAGCGTCAGGCCACCTTTTTGTAGTCCTTGGGCTGGTCGGTGGAGGAGTTCACTGCTGGCTCACTTCATTTTTGTGGTAGGATACCATGGAAAAGTGTTTTTTTTACTTAGCTCGTGCCTGCAGGAAGTTTGCACAGGCATGTCGTGTCTGCCTTGATTCAGCTGCAGGATTTGGGCATTTTGTTTGGAATAGGTGAATAGGCTGTATTTTGAAATAGAATTTTTCAGAGTACCTTGCTTTCAGAGGATTCAACCATTCTTAGTAGGGATGGTGGAAGCACTATGTGTGAAATAAGCTGAATGTTTTTCAACGTTTTTCACTAATCCAACCTTAAGACTTACGAGGTGTTTTGTGCCCCCGTCGGTGTGTCTGTGTTCTCAGTACTACTTGTGAACTGATTCACTTCCAGTGAAGATGCAATTCTGATGACCTTGTGCTTTAAATACAAGCTATCAAGCAGCACTTTTTAAAAATAAAATAAAAAAAAAATTGATGAAACTTGATTTGTATATAGGAAATGGTGTACATTGATACGTTTATAATGTTTAATAAATGGGGTTCTGACTGTGGACCGTGAAACCAGAGTGCTCCTGTGGTTTGTGTTTCCGTCATTGGTGAGCAGTGTGTTGTGTTGCAGCTTTTCCCTCCTGTCTGCAGTCCAGAGATGCAATTAATCCATGTCAGGATCACCTGTGAGCGAAGGATGCCTCGGAGTCAATCCAGTTTGCATTGGCTGAACCTGGGAGCAGGGCCACAGCTCCTCTGCTGCTCCTGCACCTTTCCTCCTGTGCTCTCAGCCACCAGCAACCTGAGGCCGTCGTCCCCTGGGACAGCAGTGTGTGATGTCCTTGTGGATGGGACAGAACACAGCTTTTATGTGATGTGGCCATTCAGGGAAACGTTCTTCATAGCAAGAAGAAGAATCTCCTATCAGCCAGGCAGCTGACCCTGTTTTGGCTTCTGCAGTGATGGCCACAAAGGCACTGGCTGAGTGCTTCAGCCTTCACAGGGCTTAATTTGATGGTGCAGCTTTGGCAGCGTATACAAGGATAGAGCCATGAGCTCAGGTCTACTCAGGAAGTGAAGAAATTGCCTTTTTTTTTAAATGAGCTGCCTTTGTTTTTTTTAATTAAACAAAAACAAAACCAACCATGATTGGATACATTGCTTTATTTTTATGACAGCAACTCTGTGTTTTTGTGCTTCAGGAAAGGCGATCTTCAGGGATCCTTGGGGGCCCAGGAGGACTGCCTTCATTTTTTACAGGCAGTTCTTTGCTGGTATTTTAGGAGTCTGTTTCAACTTGTGCCTGCTTTGTATCAAAGGAAGAAACACTCCATCTCTGCCACCATTTCCTTTATTAATGTCTATGCTTGGGGCTGGCTGCAGCCAGAGCTCACATGTCGCTCCCTTCTCAGCCAACCTGAGTGGAGGGCATGAGGCAACACGACCCCAACATACTATAGGATGCAAGTTATGTGAGGGTGATGCAAGTCACACAGTGTGCAAAACTGTTCAAACAAACTGTTTTCAGCTCAGGAATTAAACAAAAAGGGGAATAATTAAGGCACGGAGGAAAGGACCTGGGTGGTTTTAGATCAAGTATGGAGAGAGATGGAAAACAGGTGACAAAACCCACGAAGTTTATATTTCTAAGAGCTCCATCCCTGAATTATTCAACCTGCAGAAAAATCCTGCCACAAGTGTTTGCATTAATTCTGCCCTTAATGTTACTTCTCATTTCAGGAGAAGAAAGAGAAGAGAAACTCAAAGCATTATCTAGAGTCCAACGGAGGAACAGCAGCGAGTGAGAGGAGGTTGCTTATCTATTTTAATGCGTTGAATATTTAAAAGGTTAACTTCCCAGGCTCATTTCTGTGCCCAGTATTTACTTGCTCACATGTGTTGGTGTGTTTTTGGAGGGATGAACTCAGCTGGCTGTTTTTGCCTTTGGGATAACGAAATGAATTGCAGTGCAGGGCTTGAAGTGTTTGTTAGGCTTTCTCGAAGTTGTGTCTGGCCCAGGAGCATACACTGGGCTTTGAGTGTTTAAAATGTTTTAAAACAAAAACTCACCACAAAACGCAGCCCTGATGGCACGCTGTTCAGTTTTGGACGTTGGATGTTCAGTGATTTTAACTAAACAGAGCAATCTGTTCTTCCTCCAAAGCCAAATGAGGCCTCGACTGGTTGGGAGTCCTGTTAAAAAAATACATCCTAGAGTTTGAAGCTGGGGGGGTGTTTCTAGAAATGTATTGCTACCTTTAACCTGTCAACGTAGCTATTTTGTCACACTGTGTAGCAAGCTGAAAGATTCTTTAGTGTGTTCAGGAGGAGTTTTCATTAAATTCCAACTTAACTGTTTAACTGCATGAACTTGTGTTATCCTGCTGCTATTCGTTGTGCCATGTGAGCTCTTTTTGACAATCTGTGCCATTTCCTTCCTCTCAGAAATAATTTTCAGGATCACTTCAGTGCTGCGGATTCCTGCATGCGTTTCTTTATTAAGACAACAGCTCGGAAACGGTTCTGTAAGTTCAGGACACCCTCAAGGCTACAGGTTGCCTACACACTGAATTCCCTGCTCACAGCCTGTGACAACCCACTGCTTTCAGGAAAGGTCACCTGCAGCCTGGTGGCAGCAGGCAGGGCTGTAACTGCACCTGAAGTGCGTGGTGCTTCACAGTGGGGCTGAGCAGCAGGTTTGGGGTAGGGTCGGTGCTGTCGTTTGCCTGACTTTTTAGGGGAGGAGGGAGTTATTTTTCGAACTAAGCAGCCAGCGATGAACTGAAGTGGTTTCATTGCTCTAACAGTGCGAGGGCCCACCGACTTTGTAGCTGGGGTGAAAGTTGAGGGTGTCGTAGGGGGTGATGAAGTTGGCGGGGCCGGTGACACGGCTCTTCTCCAGCGAGGTGTTGAGCCCGTCGTTCCTGTACATGCCACGCTGGGCCAGAGCGTCTGAGAAGGCGTGCGAGGTGACGTGGTAGGAGATCTGCACGGGAAAGGGAGAAGGAAATGAGACGAGAGGTGTTCAGACACCAACAGCGCCTGCGGGAGCTCGGACAACGTTCTAAGAGTACTTCGTCACAACGCCCCTCGAGGAGTTCGTTGTTATGGGGCAGACTAAAACCAAGGAACTGCGGGGGTTCAGAGCCGCTGGGTCTGAGGTGGGGTTGCTAAAATCTCCCAGCCTGGTAGCTGCTGGGCAGGAGAAAGATTGGCCGTGCCCTGGGAGGAAGGCAGACCCCCTCCACCCCCCGCCATCCCGGGGAGACCCCAAACCGGCCGCTCTGTATATATCCTGCCCAGGCTCCGGGCTCGCACCTACCGGCACTTCGTACGCCGTGGGCGCTCTGCGGCCGTACTCCTGGTTGCTCGTCCGGTACAGCGGGTGCGGCTCCGGCTGCCTGCGGGGACACAAAGCATCAAGCCGAGCACAGGGCAGAGGGGTTGAGAGGCCGGAGGGGGACCTATAGGGGCTCACCCGTAGCCGCGGAAGCAGGGGAGCTGCAGGAAGCGGCGGGGCAGCGTGGCGCTCACCCACGTGCCGGTGCGGGGCGCGGGGCTCTCGGCGGGCTGCGGCTGTGCCATGCGGGCCGGACGGGACGCGCGGTAGCGTTGCCAGGCAGCGGGCGCGGGGGAAGCGGAAGGTTCCGTTCCTCTTCCTCTTCCTCGGGCACGGAGATGGCGGTACCGCGGATCTTAAGGGCGGGTGAGCGGGTAGGGCCGTGCCGAGCAGCGCACAGCCGTGCCCGTCCCGCCCGGTGACCGACGTGCTTCTCTCCCCGCAGCGGCACCGCGGTTCTACAGCGGCATCCCCGCCCCGGCGGCACTGACGGCGGCAGCGGCAACGGCGCGGCCCCGCGGTGAGCACCGCCCGGCACGGCCCTTCTTCCCCTCCTGCCCGGCCCTGCCGGCACGTTGGGCTGCATCGCTTTTTCTCTTCTCTCTCCCCAGACCCGGAGGACAAGCTGCTGAGCGAACCGCTCCGCCACCCCGATTTCTTCAACGTGAAGGAGCTGTTCTCCCTGAAGGATCTTTTCGACGCCCGAGTGCATCTGGGGCACAAGAAGGGATGCCGGCATCAGTGAGTGAGCCCGCTTTGTGATCCAGCACTTGTTCACAACAGGAGTGTTTCTCTAGGGCACGCGAGCCTTTGGAGGCAGCACCAAACCTGGGCTCGGGCTGCCTTAGCAGGGTCTGTTGTGATAGAACAAGGGCAGATGGTTTCAAACTAAATCTTTTAGTTTGAGGAGGCTTAGATTGGATGTAAGGATAAAGGGTTTTTTAACTATAGAAGCAGTGAAGAACTGGCACTGGTTGCCCAGTGAGGAGGTTATGCCTCGTCCCTGCAGACACACAAGGTCGGGCTGGAGGGGCTGTGAGCACCTGCTGGAGCTGCGGGTGTCCCTGTCCACTGCAGGGAGTGGGACCAGATGGCTTTTAAGGAACCCTTCCAACTCAAACGACCGTCTGGTATCAGCAGACAGTTGAGCTGTGGGAAGGTTTCTTTAGCACTGGAAATCCCTCCTTGATGCCAGTAACCTTGCATGTCCCCCACCCTCCGTCCCTGCAGGTTCATGGAGCCCTACATCTTTGGCTGCCGCCTGGACCAGGACATCATTGACTTGGATCAGACGATGCAGCATCTCCAGCTGGCCCTCAACTTCACTGCCCACATCGCCTACCGCAAAGGCATCATCCTCTTCGTCAGCCGCAACCGGCAGTTCTGCCACCTGGTTGAGAGCACAGCACGGGAGTGTGGGGAGTACGCCCATACACGCTACTGGCAGGGTGGCCTGCTCACTAATGCCCACATCCAGTTCGGTCCCGGCATCCGCCTGCCCGACCTCCTTATCTTCCTCAGCAGCCTCAACAATGTTTTTGAGCCCCACGTGGCCATCCGGGATGCTGCCAAGATGAACATCCCCACGGTGGGGGTGGTGGACACAAACTGCAACCCGTGTCTCATCACCTACCCCATCCCTGGCAATGACGACAGCCCCACCGCCATGGAGCTCTACTGCAAGATCTTCAAGATGACCATCATCCGTGCCAAGAACAAGAGGAAGCAGATTGAGGTCTTCCAGGATCTGCAGAGCCGAGAGAAGCGCGATACGAGCCGCCCCGTGCTGGCTGAAGGCCAGGCCTGACCACGGGCCTCATCTCCGTGCTGGAGGTGGGCATCCTGCTCCACTTCTACTGTGCTGCACCTATGGCATCACACAGCCTGGCTTTCAGAGGAGCTGGGCTGCTTGCTGCACAGGGACATTTCCAGCTGAAAAACAATTTGCCCAAGAGCAATTGATCCAAGGGGAGACGGAGCGGGGGCAGTGCCAGCTCTGTCCTGGTTTGTTGTTGTGAGGAGCACTTCTGTCCCGCGACCCTCCTGTTGTGAAATGCTGCAAAGCCACTTGTATCACACGCCACAAATAAAGGGGTCTTTGAGCCTCTTCTTTCTTTCCCTGTTACATGGGGAGGTGGGGAAATTTCTGGCAAAAATTCATGCTCACAGGGTGAGGGAGAAAGGTTTGGTGGTGGTCCCCAGCCTCGGGATTTCAGGGCACCGTGCAGGGCCATCCATGGGTGCTCAGAAACTGCAGGGAATTGCCAGGAAAAGGGCAGGCCAGCCCTTAACTCTCTATGTGCCAATATGGGAGCGCTCCGGGCAGCCCTGCAGCGCTGCGCTCAGGCCTGGTGATGGCCGGCCCGCATCCTGGCTCTTCTACTTTCTGTTTACGCAGAAGGGGGCTCCGCCATGCAGTCCTCCCGCCCAGCAGGGGGCGCTCGAGAAAGCAGACGCTCAGTGAGGATTGTCCCCTGCGGCGCTTCCGCCGCCCGCCCTATATAAGAGGAAGTCGGGAGGCGGGACGGCCTTTCGGCGCGGCGCTCGGCGGGGTTGAGGGTTGTCTGCAGGCGCTGCGTTGTGGGGAGCCATGGAAAGTCTCCCCGCCTGCCCGGCCGCTCCTCTGTGCTCCCTTCTGGCCGACGCGGCTCCCCACGTTCGCTCTCTCAGGCGCGGGCTCCGCGCTGCAGCGACGGGAGGCGGGCCGTAAGGCCGCGGGCTGTGGGGCCGTGTGCGGAAGGAGGGGGACGAGAAAAGCGTGAGTGGAAGCGCGGGGTGGCGAGCGGTCTGTGCGGGAGCTGTGGGCTCACGGAGCGAGGACGAGGGCCTCAGAGCCGCGTGTCCAAGCGGGGTGAACGGGCCGCAGGCGGGCGGTCGGCCTGCGCGCTCGGCCACGTGGCCGCGCACCGGCAGCCCGGCGCCACGTGCGGGGTGTGCGGCGCTGGGAGCGGGCGGCAGTGGGGCGCGCTTCCGTGGGCAGGGGTGAGAACAGGGCTGCGGCCTCGTCGGGCTGGAAGGTGGGGAAACTGGAAGGAATCTGTTGAAGAAGGGGGGATTTTCGGTTGTTTCTTTTAATCTTTAGGTTTTCTGAACTGATGTGAAGTGCTGCGGTTTAGGAAAGGATTATTTAGTGGGCTCAACATCCGTTGTTAACCACGTTCTCTTTTTATTTATGCTTTTGCTGGCAGAAGACAAAGGGCGGGATGAAAAGGATTTTCCGCGTTGAAAACCCGACGGTAAGCAATGCACAGAGCATCTCCGCTCTTCGTGGGTTTGCTTCTGTTCTTTATTATTTTCCTTCCTGCCTCTGGCGTTGCAAAGGTGGCTGCTGTGGCATCTTTGTGTCATTAGGTGGCAGAGATGGACAGGCTGTGTTCTACGCTCGATTGCTCTGAAACCGGTGGGCACTCAGAGTGGTTGACAGCCTGACATTGTTTAGATGTAGTTTTGTTGTCCTGGTTTTTTTTTAATTACTCTTAAGTGTGAAACCGGTGTGTAGTAGAATAGAAAGCTGTTAGGGATGTCTGAGTCCTGGGAGTTGTATGCTGGCAGCCCTGGTGCTGTTCCTGTGTGAAGGTGAAAAATATGTCTGTAATATGCATTTATTTCTCTAGAATCGCTCTTCTTCAAGACCTTTCAATTTCTTAGCATCATTAAAAAAGAAAATGTATAACCAGCTTTAAAGCGTATCTAAATTGATATCATCAATGTTGTGTGTGTTGTCTGCTCTTTTTCAGAGGGAGGCACGTGATGTAGCAAACTCAAGAGGTCACAAAAACCCGAGGTGAGCAGTAGTGGGTATTACAGGGGTATCGTTCATTACGTAGACCCTTGCCCCAGTCGTGTTGCAGATATGGCTGCAGTGCCATGTCTGTGTCATTAGGTGGCAGAAAGGAACAGGCTGTGTCTGTGCTAATGCTCTGAAACCCGTGGGCACTCGGGAATGATCAGCAGCCTGACAAATGTTTCTGGTTTTCTCTTTTTTTCTGTGATGCTAACCTTAAACTGTGCAGTATGGACAATACCAGTGTGGTCTGGAAGCAGTTGGGTGTGATGCAGCACATGGAGGAAATTGCTTTCTTCTACTTGTATTTGTTAAATGCTGTCAGCAACTTCTTGATTTCCAAGGGTGCTGCAGGTGAGAAGGTGCAGTCAGCATCTTCTGAAATGCCTTTAAAACTGTGCTTGTTTTTAGAAGGAGAAATTGAAGATACTTCTTCATGCGGTTACACGTGAGGACAAGTCTGAGTTGTGCAGTTTCCTTCAGCTGTTGAAGGTAGGTATTATGAGAACGTGCTCAGACCTCGGTGTGTTCCCAAAGTGGTGTCACACAGAATGCTGCTGGAAGGATGTCACAGGTTGTGGAGCAGTGAGGTGGTGGCGTCGACATACTGAACAAATGAGATGGGTTCAACTTTCAATAAGTGCAGAAGGAGTGCTTTCTCCTGCTTCTCATGACGAGGTGTAGCTTCCTTGTTTGTGATGTTGAGCTCTAACACAGTAGATAAAATCTGAAAATGCAATTGAACACCGTTTTTTAACTTGGTTTTGCTGTGTCTGTGCTCGCATGCTGACAAGGAAGCGTGGCCTTTAGGGCAGCAAGCCACTGGGCAGCTCAGGTACCCAAGTGCTGCAGTGGTTTAATGCATCACTGTCATTTCTTGGTTGATGTGGGCTATAGGAGCATCTGCTGTGCTGATGGTGTTTCTCAAGCGAGTGAGAAGCCCTCACCACACAAAGCATTGTGAAACTGCGAGGCTTTGCAGTGACTAATAGCTTTACAAAATCTGGCGGTGCTAAATGTTGGAAAATGTCATCATTAAATGGGCATTAGGAGGGCCAGAGGTGTCATTAGCTGAGCGGGTGGCTGCTGGCTGCAAAATGAGCCATTTAATTGGGAAAAGGCAACTGCCTTCCAGCAGTGGTGGTGGAAAAGAATGCTAATAAGGTTGTTGGGAATTTGGCTATGTGTAAAGTCATGCTCTGTGATTCAACTCCTCCATTTAACCCTGAAATATGGGTTGTGTTTCCATCAGCACTCACATCAAAGGCCGTGCAGGGGATGCTGAGTGCCTGATGAGGCTCCCTTTAAGACCTTCACTGTGTAAAGATTTCCCTGGTGCCATTTGCTACTAACTGTATTCCTTTGGCTAAGCAGAAATCCCATATTTTTCCCCCAGAAAGCCTTATATAGAGGCATAGAACCCTCCTAAAGTGATCTGAATTTGCTGAGTGCTTTCTGCAAGTGCTTTAGATCTGATCTGCACAGGTTCTCAGGCACTCAGATTTCCGTTGTCTTGCAGTGTTTTCAGTGAGTGAATTGCAGGGTTTGTGTGGTTGTTCTGGGCTGTAGTATGGTTTCTTAGCTGTAGAACAGTGAAATAGGAGGAATCTCCATGGGATGGGTTAATTCTCAGCGTTGACATTACTGCTAACTTCTACTAGTGTCAGTTGTCTGACATTCTGGGTGTTTATTTTCAGGTCATGCTTGAGTTCTAGAATTTCTAGCAAGTCTGGCTACAGGAAGAGACCTGGTTCAGCATTTCTACACTTCAAGATGCTGAAAACTTGATCTTATTCGTACATGGATTCAAGCAAGCTTGAATGAGAGTGCATGTGATCTTTCCTTTTTACAAGCAATCTCAGCCTGTGCTGTTTTCACACCCATGTTCTGAAGCTCTTGTTTTTGACCACGTGGCTGAGAAGGTTTAACAAGAACAACACTAAGTATGCTACCTGCAGGTCTGAAACAGCAATGCTTTTCATACATCCTAGGATGTTTTTGTCTGTGGATATGAGAATTGTGATTCTTTTTAACCTTAGTGAAGTGTGGAAGCTTGCTTCCTACCTCACTTAAATCCTTTACATTGCTAAAACAGCAGCATCTGTTCCTGTTGTGTTGTCAGTCTCTCAGCATTTTGGCTCTTGCTCCTTTTCCAACTAATGTGGAAAGTTGGGAGGAGGCATTATGAGTGTAAAATAGCTTTGCCTTGAGTCATTTCTCTTCCATGCTGTACTGTAGCTCGTAAACCATAATCACTTGTTTGGAAACACTTGTGCATTGTATTGGTGATGAACGAAACTTGGTGCTCTTGGCATGTGTGAGTCATAGGTAAGTCTGAATCTCAAGTGCCTGTCCAGTGCTGTTAATGGGTGTGCAAACAACACGGCAACACTGTGGGTTTTGTCAAAAGTCTTTATTTGAATAAAGTATCTCGGCTAATTCTCTCCAATCCATGGGCTGTCTTCTGAACAACTCCGCGTTGTAAATGCCTGAAGGTGGTATTTATGGTGGTGTGGGTAAGAAGAAAAAAAATACTTGTTTTTGTCAATCTCTGTAGCTGCTTACCTGCTGCTTTATGTACTGGCTTTTGGGGGAGGGAGCAGTGGGGGTTCAGTGCAGTAGGGAGTGCCATTTGTCAGAGCAGTTTACTTTGAGGTTTCAAACAGAGGGAAGGGTGAAAGATGGCTTCCTTGCAAATGAGATTTGGTATGGTTGTGTTTCTTTATCTAATAGCAGAAGAAAATGATCTCGCCAGTGGAACTGGTTGCCATGAGAGCACAGGACAGCAGAGGAGGAGCTGGGTGCAGCTATGTGAAGCCTCACAGAAAGAGCTCCAGTCCTTGCCTTCCCTCCCCACCAGCAGCCCTTCCATGCTGGCACCTGCACTCAGCAGCACCGTGCTGGAGGTGCAGTCCTGACTCTGCAGTGTTATCACTCCATTGTGGGTGCCTGGCTCCAACAGGCTGAGTAACTTGCAGCCTTTCAAACACAGGAAACTTACAAATGCTCAGCCTTACCACAGATGAACGATGCTGACTCCTGTGCAGGGAGCAAGCCTCACTAGCTGCCTGCTAGATTTAGAGCGCTGTTGACACTGAAACATATCCTTCATAAATAACAGTGAGAGGTAATGATGATCCTATAGAACTAATAGAAGGAAATGCTGATATTTATCCTCCAGAGGGCCCATAAATTTGCAGCTGTGACACTGCAGATTACCTTCACAGACTATATATACTGCTGAATGTGTTTCTTTTCTGTCAGTGATTGTACTTCACATACATGCTCCACTTCACTAAGCAATTGTTGGCTGCAGTGCCAGCAGAGGCTCTGCCAGCAGGAGTGTTATTGTGCTGGGAGCAGAGCATGCTTGAGGTTGTTTGCATAAACTGTTCCTCTCTACCTGAAGTCTTGAAAGATGGCTGCAACTGAACATTGAAAGGAAATGGACTGTAGGTAGAGAGCTGCAGTATTTACCCAGCCAAGCAAATGATACCTGCTGAAAGGTTCTCTGGAAATTCATTTTGATAATGGGAGAAGCAGTGGATTATTCTGGCATTAATCTTTAACCTCTGCAGTGGTAACCCAGCTTAGAGAATTAAACAGAAAGGTTGGCTTGTCCTTGCATGTGTGATTGAATACTGTGGGAAGGAACACAATAGATGGACAATGTATGGTAGGTAGCTGGTCAGAACCAATCAGGTTGTAGCCCTTAGGTTTCCTTTAAGCTCTTGCCTGATGTGCTTCCAAACTTGGCACAGGAGGAGGAATGGCCACTTCCTGGCAGGCAGTTTCACACTACAAGCAGAAGCAGCTGGGCAGAGATCCTTACAAAAGCCATCGCTGTCGTGGGTCAGGCACTTAAAAAAAGCAGTGAAACAATTGCCAGGATTCTCTGCTGTGGAAAAGACAGCTTATCCATTTCCTAGGTAGTGGCTGGATCTCATGGTAGGTGATTCAGGTACTTCAGGAGGGACTTCTGACTTGGAAATCTACCTCTTTCTCCTTTTTAGATCACAAGAATGCTGGTACTTAAAGGCTGTTGTTCTGCTATTGATGTAGTGGTGTGATTCACATAAAAGCTCTTTATTTACATCGGAGATGTTCATCGAAATAAGATGTGACAAGTACAGCATGAATGATTCATTCTCATCTTTCTGCCCTGCTTTCCTGTTAATCAAGAAGCAGATGCATCCAGCTGGGCTCTGCTTCCTCCTCTTTCCTCCTCCTTCCCCCAGACTCGTTCAGCCCAGCTTCACAGCTGTCGATGCAGACTACCAATGATCCTGCTGGGTGGTGGAAGTCGAGATGTTTGGCTTCTCATGAAAGCAAAGGCGCTGCAGCTACGCTGAACTCCCTGGGTAGGGCGTATTTTTCCTGCAGGGGAGAGGATGGAGAAGCAGACCTTCGAGCCTTGGCTGAACTTGGGCATTTCAGATTCTAAGCCCTGGGCCCCACTAGGAATATTTGGTGTTGGAAATCTTCTTCCAGAGCAAGGTCTTGAGGTTGTTCAGCACGAGGGAGTGGTGCACTTCCATCTGGCTGGCCAGGCCGCTGAGGGTCATGCAAGTTCGGAGCTGCTTCTGCAGCTCCTCTTTCAGGTCAGGCGGTGCCCCGTACAGCAAGTAGTCCTGCAGCAGCCCGCAGACCTTGGCCAGGTTGGGCTGAACCACGTCGCTTTTGCACTGCTTCATGAGCTTGTCGCAGGTCGCCATGCAGTCCTTCCCGTAGGTGCAGTCCACGTTCTGCTCGCAGTGACGTCCCTTGAGAAACCCTCTGATGGTCATCTCCGTTGCCACCTTCCTCAAGTTGACCATTTTGAAGTCGTATTTGTCGTTGTAGCCCACGTTCCTAAAGCTGGTCTCACAGATGTAGAAGTTGCCGTAGGTCCCGTGGAATATCTCCTCCACAAACTCCAGCAGCCCGATGGTGATCTTGGCCCTCCGGGGCCAGGCTGGTGCAAACCACTGGTGGATGACCTGGTGGAGGGCAGCGGGCAGCAGCGACTGCAGGAAGGCTGGGAGGTCTGCTCCGTAGAGGGAGTTGTGAGGGATCTTCTCTGTGATGTAGAGATCCCCGCAGTACCCGAGCAGCTTGGACGTGTGTTCCTTCTCGTGCAAGGAGAGCATAAGAAGAAACTCGTTGAGCTGAAGTAGCGCCCAGATGGATTTGGCCTCTGCTAAAGACACTTTCCCATCCCGGTTCACGTCTGCCATGGTGATGATCTGGCTGACCAAGGCTGCAAGAGAGGTCTGATCTCCGAGGTTGGACTGCAAAAGAGCAAGAAAAATGGTGTCAGACTCCTTCAGCTCCCTGTGGTTGGGCTCAGTGTGGTGAAACTCATCTGGAGAAGCAAAGAGCTGTGAGTGCGTGGCCTGGGAGAGCAGCGGGCTCCGGAGGGACCCTGTGCACTCACCTTTAGGAAGTTCAGGAGCATTTCTTTAAACTCGTCCATCGACGTCCCTCGAGTCGGTTTGTCAAAGAGAACCACATCCCTCCTGGGAATGGAGTCTGGGTTGCTGTCTGCCTTCAGGGCCTCCTCGATGCCACATTTGATGATCACCTCCTTCTCCTTCCAGAGCCCCCTGTAAACCTGCAGCAAAGGGAGCAATGAGAAGAGGAGGAGAGCAGGAGCAAGGCCAGGATTGGCAATGGTGTCAATCAAGCAGCAGCAGTGTGATCAGGGGCAGGACAGTTCCCAGGCCCCATTTTTTCAGCTCATCCCCAGTGAGCAGAGACCTACCTGCTGGGTGGGAGAGGAGGAGAGGCAGTGCTGGAAGCGGAGGCTGTGCTCCTCGCACAGATCTTTGCACGTAGAGCCAGAAATGATTCCTTTCTTGTACTGGTCACACTGGGGAGGAAAAGCAGAGAGGGGGGCAATTTCTCATGAACTCCATTGCATCCATGGTGAGCCTGTTTCCTCTGATTTCATGCAAGCCTCATACAAGACAAAAACACCCTTTAAAAGAAGCACATCTGATTGCAAAGCCACGCGGGCTGTTGGGAGGCAAGGCTGCTGCCAAGCGACGGGCAGCATCTCCAGCAGGAGCTGGGTGATGGTGAGGATGCACGGGAGGCTCTCAGCAGAGCGGCAGCCCATGTTGTGAGATGGTTTGGCCCCTGTCCAGGCTGTGGCTCTGGTCCACAGGCAGGGCGGCTCGCTCGGTGAGCTGGAAGCATCCGCGGGTGGGAGAGGCTGCAGCTCTGCAGTCAGCAGCGCGGGCTCAACAGCCTCAGGCTGGAAACAGGCACTGCAGGAATTCACAGCATCTACTGCCTTTCTTTTTTCTATTTTTTCTTTTTCTTTTCCAGCGTGGATGGGAATTAACCCTCAGACCCGTTTATGTGGCCCATGGCTGGACGCAGCACCTTGAACACCGAGCTCAGAGCAGGAATTAGCACCTGAGACCCCACGGCTGGAATCATGCAGAAAATCAAATTAAACGATCGCTGCTGTTGTTATGGCAATTCTTGCCTCCGTTCTCTGCAGAAGGATGGATGAACGAGGTGTTTCCAGGCAAAGCCTCACCGTTCTGCTCCCTGCCAGGCTGGGCAGACCTGCAGCTCCTGCAGCAGTCCTAGGGAGCTCTGCTTGGCCCCCATCCCCAGCTGGGCTCCTGTGCAGGTTCTTGCCCTTTCTGCAGGGCACAGCAGCACACTTACAGAAGTGCACCTGCAGTCTGGTTGCTCCCCTTCGTCCTTTGCTCAGCTTTAGGTGAGGGCTGGCACAATGCCTGCCTGCAGGTCCTGACATCACAATTTCAGCTCATAGACATTAACCTGCCGATGCCTGGCCTGCTTTCCTCTGACATCTCATTACGTTGCCCTGCCAGGATAAGGTCACCTCCCCAGCCTGCGAGCTCAGCATGATGCTGGGGATGGAGCCAGCATAACACAGCCCCAGCACTGCATACACAGCAGTGGCACAGCTCACCCTTTCCCCACACCGTCACTCACGATTATCATCCTGCAGATGTGGCCACGGCAGAGCTCAGAGTAGGACGAGTAGTGCATGTAGGCCACCCAGCTGCCCACGAAGATGCCCAGCCACACCACCAGCAGGTACTTCACCTTGATGCCTGGGAGGCGGCTCTGCAAGGGAAGGAAAATGCAGTGGGTGAACACAGTGGTGCTCAGCCCATGGGTGCCGTCAAGGATGGGGCTTTTCCAAGCAAACCCACTGATGGAACCTTCAGCCTTTTTTATGTACATCCACCCACCTATTATGCAACTCCTGCTGCAAGTAGGTCACTTAAAATTCCCTCAAAGCAGAGATTACAGCTGCTCCCCAGCAAAGCGCTCTGCAGAAGTTTGGTGCCATCGTGGCCCTCCTTGCCCACCTGACCCTCCTTGCACCTCTCACATAGGTGATGGACCATAATTGGAAATACTGAAGCATGAATGGCCCCACGGTGCCCTCTGTGCCCATCCACCAATCCTACTGCTAAT